ACACACACACACACACACACACACACACACACACGTAGAAGATGCAACAAAAGTCATCCTTGCTTTGTGATGCTCTTTAAAGAAAGTCTAACTGGAAGTCACTCCAAGAAAGGCATGCACCTGGAGAATTATAGAACTTTTAGAGAGGTTATAATTATGGTGCCCAAAATTAAATTTCTCTGGTGCTACAAAAAAGCTGATTTTAACAATTTGTCCCTGCGTTTCAGTACCTAGAATTTTGATTTAAACTAAACTGAAAAGACTTAAGCACTGATACTTACTGTATATAAATTTTCCTGTGTTGAACAAGAAGTTGGACATAAGTACCCAGTAAATAACCATGGCTCCAACAAGAGACACCATTGAAAATAAAAGACTGGACCATTGACCAAAGGATCCAAAATAGTACTTGCAAACATCTGGGAATTCCCAGTTTGAGGTATCTATTAAAGCTGAATAAAGACAAAAATACAAAAAAGGTGATTAAACATGAGAATACTCTGATTAAGAGAAATTGTGCTGTTTACATAGAACTCTGATTCAAAGTAAAAAAAGTCTCCTACTGCTAGATAAATGCCACCAACTTAAAGTACAACACTTGTCAGGGGACAACATTCTGTTCCATAACTTGATTTCTATTACATCAGATGGTTGGTGGAGTTTGACTGAAGGAGTTCAGATGTGGTTAAATTTGCTTAAAAGAAACAGGTCCCTATAAATTAAAGAGGTAATATGACAGGTAGAGATGGACCCCAAGCCACAAAGTCTCAATCCAGAACCCAAACTTCCCCAAAATTCAGGGACATCCAAATGAGGAGTTTTTGTTTGAGTCCCATATCTAACCAACAGTAAATCAAAGAAATATTCAGACAAAAAACACTGGCAGAAACACAAACAGTAATAAAAAAAAACCCTCATCATTCAGGATCTCAAGATCTCACACTTTACACAAGAACACTGTGTAATGTAACAGATTCTTACGTATCATTGTCCGTGATTTCACAACTCTGTAACAGCAATAAAGTGTCAAGCTGCCCATTAGCAAGATCAAACAGATTCCAGTGGTAAATCCTGCCTGTTTAAGAGGAGAAATACATTTATATTTTTGCGCATTAACAATAAATGTTGATGCAAATAGAACAAAAGAACACTGCAAATGTTTTCCATGCAAATATTTTTTTCTAATACACATTGATCTTACCTGTTTTATTCCCCATGGCATACTTAGTATAGATGTGCCCATCATTGTATTCCAGATCATAAATCTGAAGAACACAGAGAATTAAGGAGCATTGTTATTTCATGCCACCTTTTTAGAAACATAAAAGTTATTAAATTTCAATAGACAACTTCCAATATAATGCAATTTTGGGCTACCATACAAGAAAGTATTTAACATACATTGTCACTATGCTGGAGTTTTTGCCATAACCATCAGTGCAACCATCGATTTTGAAAGCAGTTCCTAATGGACTATACACATAAATTTCTTCTGGAGCTGGAAGTACATGATCAGGAGCAATCTAATAGAGGGATAAAACAAGATGTATTAGTAACAACAAAGAATCTCTGATGTTCCACTTATACTAAGTTGACTACTTACTATAAGAAAAACATGAAACTTTTAATGAAAAGTACATTTTCAAGCAGATCTGTTCTATTTTTAAAGAAAAATTGATGGCTGAATTATTCTTCTGTAGAAGAATACAGCATTTGCTCTCATCCACATCACAATCCACCAACTACTTTATGAAAATATTTTCTCAGTGACCGGCTACACACAGAAAATGCCCTAAGTTATCAGGCTTGAATACCTAAATTTAGGTACATAGAATTCCATGTTGACAACTTAAATATGTATTTATGAACATTCTGGTGACGAAGTATTAAGACTGGGCCAATATTGTAAAACTCAGGATTGTTTGCATATCTTAGTCATAGTTTTCACCACCTAAGAAGGCAGTTGTGACTTGCAGTTCTATGTAAACTCAAGCATGCTTAGCCAGGAAGGCCTCATTTAGAAGCAATCCTCAACGTTTGTTTTAACTGGGGTTTTTCCTTTTTATTTTTCAATTGTAAATTGCAGAAGTCAGGAACTTACAATACCCACTACACCCTGCATGTCATGTCCATTAATTAATGGCATCTTTAACCCATCTTTTCCTTACCAGTGCCCTATCTGAAGGAGAAGTGAGCTTGCTATAGTAATGAATCCGCTTATTCATTGCTGAGGCTTCATCTGTAACTCTTTGTGTGTCATCATTCACACTGACAATATTTGAAGGCTCTACGTGGAATGGCCTAAAGGGAAAAGGCACAACAAACAACCTTTAATGAAACTGTTAACAGAAGAGAAATAAATTAGATATTCAGAAAATGATTTTGTATCACTCAGGAATAGATTACCATCCATATTGCAACTGCTTAATGCACTGCTTTCTAACTGAAAGAAGGGAAGGCGCATTCTACAAATGCAATATTTATCTCCTTATATAACCCATATTAAAAGGGAATTGGACCAAATTCGGATGTCCTAGGTTGCACCTGCATAACAGAGCAGAATGGTGACCAGTATCTAGTTTAAAATAATGGACCAAATTGCCTTGGGTTACACTAGCATAAATCCAAAGCTCAATTAAGTTAATACTTGTTCTAGCTTTATACCAGAATTTGCCGCAGTATATTTTTAAAAAGTTTATTTTTAGTCCTCATTTATCTCACTGTTTCCCTTTGAATGGCATTTGATTAATCACTAGGAACACGATTCTCAGGAACAAAAAAATCCCAAGGGACAGATTATGGCCCATCCCTAAGCAGTCATGCGGCAGCATACACAATAATATCTCCACCTCTCCTTCCAGCATTGGATGTAGAGGTTCCATACCCAGTAGTTCCTCAAACACAGGCACATAGGGAATGGGTGGAGAGGGGTAGGCAGTGGGCTCAGTTCCTTCCCTGGACTGCTTCTTCACTGCCCTTAATACAGGGCTAGATTTACCAGAGATAGACAGAATCTTACCCCAATTATGGTAAAGAAAAATTATAATTTCTACTTCTGTATCATAGCAATATATAGACACAGAGTCTGAATGCTTTGTCAAGAACTCTTTATTTCTATATAGGTACAGGACTCCATTGGCTTAGTAAGACATTAGCCAAAGCCACATGAGAGTTTAGAAATAAAAGTTGTATTACTTGCTTGCAAACCTTACTAAACTGGTATTGCTTCCCTTCACCTGTGCTTTTATTGGCTAAACTCACTAAGATTTATAAACACAACAACAATATTCAGATTTGTTCATCTACTTTACACACACACACACACACAAAAGTTATAAAAATAATAAAAAAAACCCAGCAAATTACAGATAACAACCAAAACAGCTATTACAGATAACAGCAATAGTAAAAACTGAGTCAGGAAGAAAATTTTATTTTTCCTGCAATAAGAACCAGGTCTATTTGAATGTGCGGAGTCTGAGCCAAGACACACAAAAAAAAGATGGTGGCCAGTTGCCTTTACAGCAGCTCCCAATAACAGGATGATCTCTAAAGGGTTGCATGGTTTTCAACTCCGCCTTCATTCTGGGACACCATTTTCCCTGACCAAGTTCCCATCCTCCTCCCAGCTACAAAATTAAGCATCTATATCACAGCACAAACTTGCATCAGGAGGTTAATAAAGCCTGATCTGGAACTGTAATGCATCTCTGTGACTGGCTGCTAGGAGACACCCGACAGAGATGGAACTTGCTGCCCAAGCCCTGAATGCTGAGAGAATCATTTCTGTAATACTCCCCATTCTTAACAGCACAAGACAGAAGACAGAAATGCATGTTTTCCTCTGAGCTGATGTAAGCAGATAGGAAAAGCATGGTACTTTGTACAAGTCACAAATAGTTTGTCCATTTGGAAGTATTAAAGTAATACATTATTTCTAGATGAACTTATAGTCTATACTTTGTTATTTTTGTTCATTTTCTCTCCCTCTTGAAAAAATTGTTTAATTTATTAGATCCTTTCCCACATCTCATCACTTAATTTTTTTTTCATTTTTAAGTACACCCAATCAAGATTTTTTTGGACTGTAAAAATATGAAGGGGGAAAATACTGGTTTTATTTTTATCTATACTTGGGACATGAAGGTGTATCTGTATGAATTAAGAAAAAATAAATCCTAACTAAATATATTAGATTGAACACAATCATGAAGTAAAACTGTTGCTGAATTTAGTTAAGTGTGGAAAATGAAGGGTTAACTAGTCCAACATAGGTACAGAAAGGACATATCTACGCACAGATCTCATTTCAAGGCACACTCATTTTAGTTGAGAAGTCATGATACTCTATACATTTGGTCTCCCCGCACTTCTAATGTAAATAACTTTCAACAACAAAAGCAAGATTTGTGAAACTAAGGTTAAAGTTATTCATAATAAAGGGATGAAACCCACAGTCTTTTTTAAATGACCTGTATGAATAATTTGTTTCTCTTTCTCATTTGGGTTTTTGACACATGCTGTTTCCACATATGGGACATGGTAGCATGAGCGGTGTACATCTATTTATACCTTACTCAGACTGAATGCACAGTATAAAGATTCAGTGAGGTCTAGCTTCCTCTGCCCCACCTGGAATTAATATTGTTGGCACATCTCCTCTGTCGTTCCTGTGGGAAAGCTACACTAAAGAAGTGAGGCTTACACTCCACTTCCATGTGGAGAGATCTGTGGCAGTTTTTGCCTCTTCTGGAATGGTGCTCAATAATCTTGGACCAGCTGCCATGAAAGTTCTCCCCTTAGCTATGTAGCACTAAGCTGTTGAAGGAGATCAGGTTTTGAAACAGAACAGCTTGGGTCAATACAGTAGACCAGTTCTTAAATTTTTTTTGCCCCCCCAAGGACCACCTGAAAATTGCTGAGGGTCTCGGTGGACCACTTAATGATCTTTCCAACTGTTTTTTGTACCGTTAGCTAACTATTGTAAAGCACTTTGGATAAAAGTGATATTTTTAAAATAAATAAAATAAAAACCCCCCACCAATAATAGACTTTTTTTGTTCTACAAATAAAATCAAACAACTCATTTTAATATCAGTAGCCTTACATTTCTAATGCAATGGATGTGCCCTCTCCTCCACTGCGGCAGCCCCAGAACTGGGGCTGGGAAGGGGGGGGGGGTGTCTCTCCCTCACTATGGTAGTCCCTGAGCTGGGGCTGGGAAGGAGGGGGGGCTCCCATGCCTTGGGAGCCACCAAGCTGGGCTAGGAAGGAGGGGAGTGTCTTTCCCTCTCTCCCCCCACCATGGCAGCCCCCAAGCTGGGGCTAGGAAGGGGGAAGAGGGTCTCTCCCACTGCGGCAGCCATCAAACTGGGCTGGGAAAAGGGGGAGGGAGGGTGTCTTTCCCTCTCTCCTCCACCACAGAGCTGAGGCTGGGAAGGAGGGCTGTCTCTCCCTAGCAGCCACAGCCCTGGAGCTGGGGAAAGTAGCCTCTTTTGCTGGCTGCCATACCTCTGCATGTCCCAAATTCCCTCCACCCCCTCTTCTCACCTCACTGCCCCCTCCCACCTACCCCCATTCACCCCATTGGCCACCAACTCATCTTACATGTGCATCTTCTCAAGGGTCCAGGCACCTAGTTAGTGGAGCCATGCCTGGGCAGCTTCACTAATTAGGGAACTCCACCAACATAAAGCTCAACAGCTCTATCAGATCACTGAGAAACCTTCACTCTCAGGAAGGAACTCACATGGGGTCACTCAAAAGACAATAGGAATAAAAAGAGGCATAATGGGGGGAAAAATTGGCATGACTATGAGTGTTAATTCAGAGAAACAATAGTGCGGGTGATACCCAAGCACTGAAAGAGTAAATGGAGGGCCAGAAGAGTTCAACGGATCTGCTTTTTTTCAGGACAACAGTACTATTATACTCTACATTTAAATATTAATCCAACTGACAATATTCACTTGGGGCAGAAATTCTACCACAGGGGAACCAGTGTGTTTACCACTAAATGGTAGGTACAGACAGGATGCTGGAACCCCACACTGCAGATTTACATCTCCTGCACACTACAGAACTGTTCTGTGCATGGGACACCAAGGCCACAGCTCACTTGGGAGATGCAATGGGACGAGGCCATGGGATTTGCTATTACATTTACCCACTAGCCATTCTCTCCAATGCACGAGAGCACAGTAAACGTGGAGCTACTGCAGCTCCACTGCCAGGGAACTGAAACTGCTTCCTCCCCAGCTTCCTTAGTCATATTGTGTACTTGGTCCATGGTTAATGCAAGGAACCCTTGATAATAATCGGACATGTTTGTATTGTCCAAGATATGATATTTGGAAATAAATAAAATGAAAACTAAGGACTGGGAAATTTCTTGTATTTAAAGAAAAAAAAAAGGACTTCAATACCACTGGTCAGGAGAATTCAGTTGTTGAGCTACATGCATTCTGTGACTAACATTCATAAGGATCACAGGACAACTAAGGCACATATTAATAAAAATATGAATGAAGGACTAAATTTATAAGACCTACTATATCTCAGGGTTTTACCTTGCCATTTCAGAAATACATCTCTTTCTTTTAGAATGATAATCTCAGATACTAGGATGGTCTGCATTAGGTCCAGGAAAAGAAACCCTCTGAAATCTTTCTGGATGGAACTGCCAAAAAGATATACATGCAAAAAGAGTAAGGGAAATCCCATATATGAATGGGAATGTAGATTAAACATGGATTTTTATTTATTTATGTGCAAAAGTGTGGCTATAGAAACTGCACCCACAGAAAAGGGCAGAATATGGCATAAATTTGGCTAGCTTAGTTGTGTGCAGAAATCTGCCAGAATTTTCATTATCTTGAAAAACTGGCATATTCTGCTTCTCTGAAAATAGTGATGAGTAATATTTTAGAAGGCCTACAAAATGGAATGCACATTTCAGAACAAGAATTGAAAAGGGGTATGTTTAGGGCCACTCTGGACAAGAACATAATATTTCACATTGTAGAGGTACCCTTGTTTGGATCTGAAACACTTATCACTACTGAATAGCCAATGCTGTACATATGTTGAATAATATTCAGAATGAGGCCTTTAAAACAAGACTTTTTTTACTTCACTATATTATTTTGGTGCTCCTCCATGACACTATTTAACATTTCAAGTCATAGAAACATTTATTTTGTGTTCAAATTATACTGTCTCACCATAACTCAAAGACATTTTTAACATTTCAACTTGAAGGCACTTTACTTGCTTTCATATATGAAGCTTTAGAGCTGCTA